ATAATTTAACATATTCAATAATCAATAACACACATGTATCATGTCAAACATATGTTCATCTTAATGAATTCATGCATTCTACTATAGGAAATAGACTAATTACAAGTCTTCTTTCCATTACACATCGTATAACTAATATGCACTCACCTGGCTTCACTAGTCCCTGCCAATCTTTTGTCTCTTTATTGATGATCGTTCTTGTCAACTTGTCCGAACACTACTCTCAATCGTTATCTACACAATCATACGTATTATATACCTATCATCATTCCCAATATCATGATTCTAATTCTTCATTTCTTAAACTAAAGAAAAAGGTACTTTCATTTCTTACTTAAGGTAGGTATCGATACCTTCTATAGGGTATCAGTACATCTCTTAACTGGTGTATCAATACACTCTTTAGGTATCGATACCCAAATTACATTAGATAATTTTCGTTTCAAGGGGGTATCGATACACTCCTTAAGGTATCGGTACCGATACCCCCTGTCCAGAAATCACTTCCTAAGCCCGAAAATCACTTCATTTCAGCTCAAATGTTTCATATTTCATCCCCTTTTATATTCTTAACTCACATACACATACTTAAACTCATCAATACTCATTTATCACATCTCTAACCTCAAAATCCTATCCTCTACATGGAATTCAAGAATCATACCGATTTTCCACTTGTTATAAATCCAATTTTAGTACTTCATATCTCTTAATTCAACCACTAACAAATCAAATTTAGGTTCAAATTCCACTTATCAATTATATTAAGAGTTTTCATTCAAAAACTCTTAATCTTTAATCTCTCCTAACTCCTTAATCCCTTGATTTAAAGTTGACGTAAGCTTTCTTTAAGCTTAAGTATTATCTAATGATCATAACCAAATAAAAATTCAACAATAAATTAACCATCTGGAAAACTCACATTTGCTTGAAGCTCATGGCTACGATGGAGAAGAAGAGAACTCTGGAAACTGGAACATTATCTCCTCTTTACTTCTACGTTGATTACTCCCTTAAAAAGGGACAAATAAAAATCTTTCTTTGCCAATTGACCATTTTACCCTTTACTTCATTTAAAAATTATCAATAACTATTCACAAAATATTTCCAAATAAGTCCCTAAACTTTTCAATCTTTTAAAATCATACCTCAAAGTTTCAAACTTCCAATTTAGTCACTAACCCTAATTTTGGGATATTACAAATGATGCAATTTATCCATAGAAAATACAATGCCATTAATTTTTTAATGGCGAAATACTAAAATGGAATAAAAAATAAACGTTAAGTATACTTTTAAAAATTAAAAGTTTAAATATTAAAGTAGACCGAAACTAATAATTTAAATACTAAACACGTAACCTAAAAATTTATATGGAATTTTATAAAATAATATATTTAATATAAGGGTAAAGTATAGTAATGGTCACTGAACTTTTCTAAAGCTTTCATTTAGGTCCTCTAACTTTTAAAACTTGCAATACAATCCTCCAACATTTAGTCTGTTTGCAATATGGTTTCCAATGTAACCGGTCGTTTGACACCGTTACACTACCGTTAGTACGTTTGCAATATGATCACTAAACTTTTCAGGCGCTTGCATTTAGGTCCCCCAACTTTTAAAACTTGCAACACAATCATCAATTTTCAAAATATGTAAAAAATCCAATTCATTCACGATATATCAGTCCCATAATCAACATGAACTTATTAAAAAGAATACGAGTTCACAGGACGTCGAGAACCACAGGTCGGATCAATACAATTCCCAGTAAACTAGTACCAGTAGTCTCTCGGATTGAGCCTGGCGATTTCACTATGTCGATACTCACAACCAATTCCCTAATTTAAAGAAAAACCAAACAAGAATATTAAAAAAATTTAGCATGGGACCCTCTTTCACTTCTATTCTGATGGACTGAATATATTTCATAAGGAGTACTAAAAGTTTTTATTAAGAAGAAAGAAAGAAAATTAGATGTTTTGGTTCAAAACTAACACTGAATATCCATATCATTGACATACAGTTCCAGAAACATAAAATTTTCAACAAAAAGCACATAATGCGAGCTGAAAATGGGAAAGTGCGAAAGAGGAAAATTTTACTTCCGGATAGCCCAAAAGAGAAAATAAATACCTTCTTGCAAGTGAGAGGAGAGGCTAAGAAATAAACACAATCGGTGTTGCATTCCAGCAATTCTTCATATATTTTTTCTTTGTAAATAAAAAGCTGAAAGACAAAACACTGATTGGATTTACAATTTTACATTGAAGAACAAAAACCAAACGATAGTGCATGTGAGCGAAAGTGACTAAGAGGTGAATGGGCTTTTTGGGATTTCATTATATTTGATCATCTGTTGGAAAATCTTTAACCATAGGATTAAACGAATAAATTATTATATGCCATTTATACAAAATAATTCTAGCTTTGTTGATGACTTTCAACAATGATATTTAGTTCATCTTAGTAGTATTTGTAAACTCTGCATTTCTAACCCCATTTTTTTCACAAGCATTTCATCGAACATCTATGCTTCACCTGAGATGACCTGCATCTAATATTACACATTGAATCGTTGATGGTCCCGATAGTCCCTTGGTCGGGTCTTCTCAATGGACCCTTATTCAAGTCAACATCTCCACATAATTCAAAGTTAGATTATAATTTTCCATGCATCCCCGACTGAAAAGTTACGTTGGAAATGAGAAGAGAGAACGAAAAAGGAAATTCGAGATCAAAAAGGAATTTGGGTTTTAGAATGAAATTAAGGACTGTGTTGCAAGTTTTAAAAGTTGGGGGACCTAAATACAAGTGTCTAAAAAGTTCAGTGACCATAAACATACTAACGATAGTGTAATGGCGTCAAACGACCGGTTACGTCGGGGCCCATATTGCAAACGGACTAAATGTTGGAGGATTGTATTGCAAGTTTTAAAAGTTGAGAGACCTAAATGAAAACTTTAAAAAAGTTAAGTGACCATTACTATACTTTACCCTTAATATAATTATGACATGATAAATATTTCACAAGAATCCACGGGAATCCCATGGTCAGTAATGGTCGATTCTAGAAGATCCCATCTTAATAAGCTGCCAAAATTAACAAAAAATTACACATTAAAAAATATTCAAAAGAATACTTTAACAGAATTTAAAAACATATTTTGATATAATATTTAAATTATTTAAAAATGTTAAATTTACAAATTTAAAAATAGTGTGCATTTAAAAACATTTGACTCCGTGGCCTTTTAGATATTAGAATCACTGACGTAGCCAGCTTAGTACAAAGGATGTCACATGACATTTCAAAAATCTTTAAAAAAATCTTTAAAAATTTAATATAAAAATATTTAAAAATAAATAAAAAATATTTGACACCTTAAATATAATTGATTCATCCGCTCAACAAATTATTTTTTTTTATAAAATTTTTAAATTTAATATCTCAAAATATAATTTCTGACGCCTAAAATTAAATTTTCTATAGTTCTGCTCCTTAGAATAACAATCCTATCAATTAAATTAAAATTTGATTAAGGTATTCTTAAAAGAAATTGGTTGAAGTGAAAATATGATTAATTTATTAAAAAAGATCAAATACAAGGGTAAACTACATTCAAGGTCACTTAATTACGAGGTTGATAATAAATATGTCACTTTTCTTTTTAAAGTTACGGACATATTACTCGAGTATAATATTATTACAAATTGATAGTTAAATATAGACAAGAATAGTAAGGTGGATAGATACAATAATAATTTAGTCCTTAAAATGTATACAATCTATTAGTTTGGTTTTAATTCAAAATAAATAAATAAATTTAACCTTCCTATTTAAAAAATTAATCATGTTAGTCTATATTCTTCTTCAAAATTGTGTGTCGTCATACTAGAAATATTATATTATTATTCTGTTAGTTTTCTGGTATAGTAACAATCTAATATTAACTTATTGCTAGTTTATGGCCGAATAAAATTATCCAACAACTACTTTGATACAATGAACTTGTTTGCTTTGAAATTATTGCAAATTTTTTTTTTTTGAATTGATAAAACTTTTAAACACGAAGGATTCAATTTGTTGGATTGTTTCGATTTTGGATAAAATTAATATAATATACAAGTTTTGGGGACTAAAAATATTACTATAGCATACTACAATAGATGTTTGTTTTAGTTTTAACGAGAGAGTGACATGTTTGTAATAATATTTTAGTTAAATGATATGTTTATAATTTTTAAAAGGAAAGTGTCATATTTATTACTAAACTTATATTATTATAATTTTTAAAATATACACGATCGTAATAGACATCCATTTCAATTTTAATGATGGAGCATTGATGTATTTTTATCTTTTAAAAAGAGAATGACATACTTGTTACCAAACCTATAATTAAGTGGCCTTGGGTGTAGTTTAACCTAAATAATTCAGCAATAAGATGGAAATAGAAGAATAAGGAAATTAGGAAAGTACATAAAAAATACCCCCAACAAACACCAAAAACTAGTCGATCGAGTGGGATAAAATATTAGATTTCTTAATACAATTAGAGTTAGAATTTTAATGATTACGAATCGATCAAATATAATTAAAAAAGTTACCCTTTTTTTCTTTAGTATCCAACCTCATATTAATTCATCAATAAATCGAATACATTTGATTATTAAAAAAATTCCCAACAAATGGTAAAACAGAAAGTGGGAGAAAGAAAAACCCAGCAGCTGCCGTCCACGTACCCAAATTAGTTTCGACGGTCCTTTTTATTTCTCATCGCCCATTTGACCCCCACCAACTTTTGTTTTTGTCCCAACCCCATGGCCTGAAAACGATATAAAAACACATCAATGGTCAGAAAGAAAGAGCTAAGAAAATCAGGCTTTTTAGCAACAAGTAGAGGTCAGGATTGCTCTCAAATCCAATCCCCTTGCTAAAAAACACACACCCTTATCTTATCTCTTTTATTCTTCCCACTCTTTTAACTATAACACCACATTGTTTACGGACTTCCCATTTCCATTGTTTTGATAATGGCCCCAAGGTCAGGGAAAAGCAAGTCAAGCAGAGCTAAAGCTGAGAAGAAGAAGAAAGAGGAGAAAAGTGAGTTTCTTTTCTTTCTTTTTAGTACATTGAGCAAAGAAAAAGATTACCCATTTGTTCCCCTTTTTGATTTTGATTATTGTCCTCTCATTCTTCCCCTCAGTTGTTCCTCATGTTATTGACATCACTGTCGTTACTCCTTGTGAATTCCAAGTTGTACTCAAGGTACTTGCTTTTTCCAAGTTTTCTGCAATTAAATAGTGATTACCTAAGAGTCCATTAAGTGTTTTATATTGTTCTTTCTATATTTATTGGATTTAAGTAACTATATCTAGATTTGTTTTATCTGTGAGACGTCCTTCATTAATAAAGATTTTGAATATATATTATTTTATAATCGTTCGAAATTATTGAAAAAAAAGTAGTGTGATGAATGTTTTTTTTTTCTGTTGTTGAAAGGGTATCTCCACTGACAAGATACTTGATGTAAGAAGACTGTTGGCTTGTCATGTGGAGACATGTCACCTTACAAACTATTCTTTAGCTCATGAGGTGAGACTCTTGATTAAAAAAAGAAGTTTTTTTTCCTTCCAATTTTGAGCTCATTTTTGTTTTGTGAAAAAAATGATGGTTTTAGGTTAAAGGGAAGAGGTTGAATGAGAAGGTGGAGATTGTTACACTGAAACCGTGTTTGCTCAGAGTGGTTGAAGGTAGGTTTTGGGGTTAAGCCCTCTTCTTAACCAATTCCTCTGCTCTGTTTTACTATGAAAATTGCTGCTTTTGTTTTGTTCTTTGAAATGAATGAAGAGTAAGACAAATTATGAGTCCTAAAGAATGAAGAATGTAACTTCCCATTGGTAATAGCGACGGGTGGAGAACTTGTCGTTTTTCTTACGTTAGTTATAACCCACACATACCGGCCTTTTAAAAGGAATAATTCGTAAGGCAAAAAAATATGGAAAATATAGTTTGGGAGATTCAAGTTTGTAATCTAGGAAAATTGTTATTGTTGCTATTATGACGCCTTTCAGGAAAAATATTATTTAAAAAAAATTATCGTTCCAATAAATTTATAATTATGATTCAAATAATAAATTTTTTTGAAACTCATTATGTTGGAATTACATGTTTGCTCCTCGTAATAAGTGTCTATAACGATTGCCTTCGATTACAATTTCCCCCTAATTTGTAATCCCGTCATGTATTCTTTAACTAAAAAACCACATATACCCCTAGCCTCTTTTAAAAAATAATTTTTTAACAATTTTTTAAAGAGATACTATTTTTGAGTTTAAAAACATTATTAAACTCATTAAAAGATTAATTTAGATAGAATATGATAAAAATTTAAATTATCTTTTAATTTATAATATTAGTGTCTACAAAATAGATACTCTGATAAAATAAATAAATAAATAAAATATTTAGTTTCACTATATTAATTTACACTGAAAAATAAAAATACATGTACATGCCCATGCCCATGCCCATGCATATTTATTTTTGTTTTATCTTTCACGGGATCTTGTGGAATTATTACTCAAAATTGGATCTAAAATAATACGAGGACCACACGGCACGACTCAGAAGAATTTAACATTCATTTGTATTGAAAACGGAGGTGACTTCAATTGGAGTGTAAAAATAATAATAATAGTTAATCGATTAGTACTTAAATTAGTATTTTTATTTTATTTTGATGTTTAAATTTTATTTTTTTAAAAATTATTTTTAATATTTAATTTAAGTTTTAATTTAATATTTTTTTATTTTTTAATAAAATTATTAATGTGATATTTGTCTTATTTTTTAACGATGATGTAATAGAACCTTACAATGACATATTTAAATTTTTAACGGTGAGATATCGAAATCAAATTTAAATTAAAAGTTATGTATGATTTTTTAAAAATTAAAATTTATATATTAAAATAAAATAAAACTAAAAATTATGTATGATTTTTAAAAAATTAAAATTTGGATATTAAAATAAAATAAAAAATAATAATTTAGATACTAAACTTATATTAATAGTAATGAGTTGAAGCAGCACATTTTACACGAGAAAACCAAAAAATATCAGATTGTACAATGACTGTTGGCTAATTACATTGATGCCCCTTTCGATGCAGAGGACTACACGGAAGAAGCTCAGGCGCTGGCACACGTGCGGAGACTCCTAGACATCGTAGCCTGCACCACCAGATTCTCCAAGCCCAAACGACTCCGATCGCAATCATCTTCGCCATCAACGCCGTCTGATTCAAAATCCAAAAAGGTAAATAGCAAGCACTGCCAGGCAACCAACAATGCTCCTCCTCCGCCTGAAGCAACCTCGATTTCGGAGAGCTTGGACATGGCCGCCATTCATCCGACCCCGAAGTTGTCGGACTTTTACGATTTCTTTTCCTTCTCTCACCTCTCTCCTCCCATACTCAGTAAGTACCAGTGCTAATGTCATTTATTTTTTATTTGGGTTAATTTAAGGATTAGTAACTTAACTATCATTTTTGTTTCATTTTAGTTATTTAACTATTTTTTATTTTAAAATCACACCTAACGTTACGTTTTAGTTTTATTTTAATAATCTATGTTAAAAATTTAATATTTATGATTATATATAACCATAATATAATTCCATTTCATCATTTAATTTTTTAAAAATTTACCATGTCAATAGTTTTGTTAATCTTTTATAGTGGGTGACTGAAATGAAATCAAAATATAATATAAGATAGAATTTTGAAAAAAAATAGTTAAGTTACCGAAAAGGAACAACAGTAACAGATGGAGTGCTAAACATATAATTTACTCTTTTATTTTAACGAGGGGATCGAGGAGATTACAAAAAATAAACCAGCACATTTTTTAGATAGATTTTTTTTTATATTTTCTAATTATACATCTTTTAAAAATATTTATTAGTATTAATTGATTGATCTCTAGTTTCCAGGATTTCGTCTATTTCAAGGTTGAATTCTGCATTTGGCACCGGAGAAGTTAAAATTTCATTTTTTTTATATAATAATTCGAAAATAATTTTAGGGTAAATTACACGTTTGATAATTGAATTTTATTTTCTCTCATATTTCACTTGTACCTTTAATTTTTTTAATTTACTCACTGAACTTTATAGATTGAATTTTTCTGGTCACTCCGCTGTTAAATAATTAAACTGTATTATGATATGACAACTTACCCGTAATTTTATTTGGTACACAGTCACATTTTTATTTATTTTTAAAATAAGAGTTTAAATTAAATATTTTCATGTGAGACAAACTTAAATGAAAAAATTTACAAGAAAAAAAATCCTAAACATCAATAACTACAAAAATGAGTGTAGGAGTTTATATTATTGTAAAATTCCTTACGAATTTATGAATAAAATAACCTAAGTTGAAGGATTAAGTAAAAAATATAATTGCAAGGTACATTGTCAGTGGTCAGTCAGGGATGATGAAAATGTGTCTCGTTTATTTATTTTTTTAGAGAGATATATCTGAGATTTTTCATTTGGGAGATGGAAAATAAATATAATTCTCTAAATAAAGAATGAAATTGAGTGCATTGTTCATGGTTATTTGCTGGAGTTAATTGACTTGAACTTTGGAATTTAATTTTGTAAGCAACTCCAAATTTTATTTTTATTAATTTAGTTGTTTTTTTTCGATTGTTATTCACTGATTTTGGATTTTGCAGATTTGAGGAAATGCGACTCCAAAGAAGTAGAAGGGCAGCGTGATGGTGACTATTTTGCAATGCAGGTATCTTCTCACTTTGCACGTTAATAAGATTTTAATGGTGTTGCTGACGTGTCACAATAAAATAATGTTACTCTATCATGAAAAAAATTAATTTTTTAAAAGTCATATTGACAATTCTGTTAATTTTTTAACTGTGGATGATCAAAATGAAATCAAAATGTAGCGTTAAGTATGATTTTAAATAGAAAATAATTGGGTGACAAAAATAGAATAAAAGTGATAGTTGGGTACTAAACGTAGAGTTTACTCTACAATTTTATGCAATCTATAGGTGGATCCTACACATGTATGGTAATGATTAGTGTATTGAAAAGTAATGGACTAGAGATCACAACCCTATATATTCTTGGTCTTATGTCAACCAAAACATGATTTCTCTAGTGTGTTATTTTGACCTCCTAATCCTATAATGAAATGATCCTGATACTTAAATTATGTTAATCTTCTTATACTTTTAACCACCTTTCTCTTTACATATATTGTTGATTTTGTTGATTCTCCTGCTGCTGGTTTTACCGATACCGTATATACATGTGTGCAGATAAAAATCTGCAATGGGAAGTTAATACAGGTTGTTGCATCAATAAAAGGGTTTCACACTGTTGGAAAGCACTTCTTCCAAAGCCACTCTTTGTTAGATGTTTTGCAAAATCTCAGCCAAGCCTTTTCCAATGTAAGTGTGCTGCACTCTGGTATCTGGCTTTGCCTTATCATTAGAAAAGCTTATGCCAACAATGACATCAAATATTTTATGCTATGGATGGCAGCTGCTGCTGCTACTATTGACTTTATGACCAAACCCCATACTCTATCTTTTGGTCCTTAATTTACCACTCATAATGATCTGACAGCTTGTAGGTAAATATTTAGGAATGGAAATAATTTGAATCTAACGGCATTTGATATGTCATAATCCTAGTAGAACAGTTTTCCTGTTAGATAATCAGTTTGGCTCAGCTATTTGTTTATATATCTTTCTTTCTTTTTTGAGGATCACCAGATTGTGTCTGATGTACTACAAAAATACACATGCTGTCTTTCTAGTTTCTACGATACGTTTTTTTACTTCAGAAATATTAAATAGTACTTGTATCTAATTTTAGAAGTTATAAAGTAACATTTTAAAGCTTTCCTTTGAAAGTGGAATTGTGGATCAATCTTGTTCAAGTAATGTACGAAATCTGAAACCTGACATGCCCAAAGTTTGACATGGCATGACATTACTTATTATCTCTCATTTATTTATTAGGTTAGTTTGATGGCTCTGTTTGTAATTTATTCTTGCTTGTGATTGATGCAGGCGTATGAATCCCTTACGAAGGCTTTTGTAGGACACAATAAGGTAACATTTTCTTAATTCGCTTGATAGATTACTTTACCTTGCAAACCATGATATCTGTAAAAGCAATTTTGCAAGCTCTCATGTGTTTTTAACTGCTTTCAGTTTGGTAATCTTCCCTATGGGTTTCGTGCAAATACATGGCTTGTCCCTCCCCCAGTTGGTGAGTGTCCATCAAACTTCCCCTCTTTCCCATCAGAAGATGAGCAATGGGGTGGTAATGGTGGAGGCCAGGGAAGAAATGGTGAATATGATCTTCGCCCGTGGGCTACAGATTTTTTTATTTTAGCTAGCCTCCCTTGCAAAACCGAGGAGGAGAGGACTGTTCGAGATCGCAAGGCCTTTTTGCTCCATAGCCAGTTTATTGATGTGTCAATCCTTAAAGCTGTTGCTGCAATACAACATGTTATGAATTCGATCTTAAATGAAAAGGGCCTTGCAAATTGCCATCCAGACTCCGTCCTTCATGAGGAACGCATTGGTGACTTATCCATTATGGTAAAACATGACTTGGCAGAAGTGGATCCTAAGTCTGAGGTAAAGTTTGTTGGCAATCAATCATCTGGCAAGACTGCTAATGAAAATGCTCAAAGGAATTTGCTTAAAGGGATAACTGCTGATGAGAATGTAATTGTCCATGTAAGTCCACAACCCTGTCCATCGCTCATTTTTTTTTCTCGGTATATAGGATGCTTGTGCTTTATCTACTGCTTTTTTATCATCATTGTATTTTCTTTTCTTCTTTTTTACTTCCTCTGTATCTGCTAACAACTTCAAACAATATCCGATTTGTCACCGGAGACTCTCATGGCTCATTTGTTTTTTCCTTCTTATTTTTCTTCCTCTTTTTCATCTATGCATGTCAGCCTTTATACTCATGCACACTTTGCCCAAAAATAGATGTCTCAATAATGCCCTGGCTCTTTTCTGGAATCTGAGCTCAAGACCTTTAGTAGTCCTTCATTAGTTTAATCTATATCCTCATAGGTCTTCTCCTCCAGTGCCTTTAAATTAAACTTTATCGATGGTCTGTTAGGTAGTTTTCTGGTCTTTATAACATATGACCAAACCTTGTCGATGGACGAAACTTCTAGATTATGCGTAGTGGTTGAAGCTTTTCACTTGAAAAGCCTTTCCAAATTTATATATATATTTTTTGGCTAATCAATATAGCAACCATCTCTCAGGATACTTCCTCATTGGGCACTGTCACTGTTAAGCATTGTGGGTACACTGCAACTGTAACTGTTGTTGGTGACGTGAAGAAGGAAAAATCTGGTGCTCTGGATATTGAAGTTGATGATCAGCCAGATGGGGGAGCAAATGCTCTTAATATTAACAGGTCTGAATTGTTAGATGACACTACTCCATTTTTTGAAGTTAACTAATTAACTGCATTATTTTAAATCATGACCTATTTAACACTGTTTACCATCCATTCAACCAAGCTTTCTAGTTGCTTGCTAACTTCTCGGTTTCTAAAGGGACAGCAAGACTTGTCTGCCTTGAGAAGATGATCAAATAGGATATGAGTTGATTTTCTGAAGTGAAGGAAATCTTATATGTGAAAACAAAGGAGAAGGAAGTCTTATAAGTTTCACGTGAAGTTGAGAACTTGTTAAATGAACCAAACAAAACAAAATTAAGCGCCAAGTTGCAAGTTAGAGACATCTAATCTGTTGAGATGGTGTTATAATACTTCTATTATGTTTTGAGGGTTTCTGTGTTGGAGCCTTTCATCAATTGCCATTTGGTTTTGTGGTAGATGCTTAACATGGTGTCAGGAGTATACATTATTTCTTCCTCATTTTTCATTTGTTATTCATTGTTTATTCCCTACATTTTTATAGAAGTGTTCCATTCCTTAGAATTGGGATTTCTGTGAGGGTGAGTGTTAATTTATGTCATTTCACCCTTGTTTAAGGTTTTGTTGTTTCCTTATATTGAAGGTCTCTTGCAAATGATTACTACTAACAAGAAGTCCTGATAAACTATGAGGAATAAATACACTATCACATGCACTTTGCTAGTCTTCAATGATTTCCTTTTTTTACCTGAAAACAATATATCATAAACTAGGTAATGATGGGGTATTGAATTTATTGCAGCCTAAGGATTTTACTTCACAAATCCTTCCCTGCGGAATTGAGTGGATGTAGGGAGTCAAATCAATCCAACTTGACTGATTCTGAATCTTCTGGATGTCTTGTTCAGCGAGTAATCAAAGAGAGCTTGACAAAATTAGAGGAGAATTCAGTTGCTCCTGAAAGGGCTATTAGATGGGAACTTGGTTCATGTTGGGTGCAACATCTACAAAAACAGGAAACTTCTACAGATCCTGCTTCAAAAGGACCTGCTAATGATTGCAACGCTGAATCAGCTGTCAAGGGTCTTGGAAAGCAATTTAAATTTTTAAAGAAAAGGGACAAAAAACCAAGCAATGTTAGTAGCGCAATTGACAAGGAAGAAAATGATTCTGAGCCATGCAGTGTGAATGTGAAGTCTGATCTATCTCAGGAAAGCAATGGTGAGTTCCACAGTGAGATGGAATTGAAGAACCTGACTTCTGCAGAAGCTTTCTCACGTCTCGAAGAAAGTGGAACTGGTCTTCACTTAAAGGTTTCCTACATTTACTTGTTTGTTTTTACTCTTGCATTGATTTACTGTGCTATATATTTGTGAGAATAAGTGTGCATAAAGCTACCCATCTTTATAACCACTAATTTTCTTGTGTTTTTATATTACTTTTTGTTATATTTTGAACTCACACTTCTGAGTTTGCTTTTTTCAACAGTCAGTGGAGGATCTTATTAAGATGGCATACAAGTATTACGATGACATTGCTCTGCCAAAACTGGTACTATATCCCAAGCTATTACCTTTCTGAACATATGTTTTGGGTTTTATGTACAGTTCATGAACAAACATTTTATATTTTATTAGGTAACAGACTTTGGATCGCTTGAACTTTCTCCTGTTGATGGTCGTACACTAACCGACTTCATGCATTTAAGGGGATTACAGATGCACTCTTTGGGTCGTGTGGTGAGGAAACTATCTATAAATTGGTTCTATTTGATCCTTTTCGGCAAGTGACTATTATTTATCTTAAATCAAGTCTTATTGGCAATGGGATGCAGTCTTCAAGTAATTCTTTGATTTCCTAATAAATATAGGATTATTAGCTAAAAATACATAAAGCAAACACTTAAAAGTATGGTCCTTGGATTTTGTTTTTATTTTTTCTGACTCTTGTCATTGTACAAGTCAGGTTGAACTTGCTGATAAGCTTCCTCATATACAATCACTTTGCATCCATGAGATGATTACTCGGGCTTTGAAGCATGTAGTGAAAGCAGTTGTGGCATCAGTTGAAAACTTCGATGATTTACCTGCAGTTATAGCTTCAGCCCTGAATTTCTTACTTGGGAGTGGTGGAGGCGAAGATAATGTCAAAAATGAAAATGATGACTATTTACTCAAATTGAAGTGGTTAAGAAAGTTTCTTGCAGCAAAGTACGGTTGGAAACTAAGAGATGAATTCCAGCATATACGAAAACTATCCATTCTTCGAGGACTTTGCCATAAGGTACTTTTTTCTTATTGATTGCTTTCAGATTCTGAGCTCATCAGATGAGGGATGCGGAGTTTTACTGATTCTTTTCCCCAGATTGGTCTAGAGTTGGTTCCTAGAGATTATGATATGGAATGCCCCAAGCCCTTCAGAAGTTGCGATATTATCAGCATGTATCCTGTCTGTAAGGTGTGGTCTCTCTCTCATTACTTCTCATATGGTTTTAAGATTGTTATCATCTAAATGAACCAGCTTGTTATGGATTAATTATTAACTGAACTCTGCCTGGATTAATTATTAACTGAACTCTGCCTGTAATGATCTACAGCATGTAGGATGCTCTTCCACTGATGGTCGAACATTGTTGGAGTCATCCAAGATTGCTCTTGATAAAGGGAAACTAGAGGATGCGGTTAACTATGGGACAAAGGTATTTCCCCATTCAATTCATTTTAAGAATGACATTATTTGTGTACTATGTTCGGTGAAGAAGGTCCAGAGAAAGTGATACTTTTCTTCTTCTTTTTTTATATATTCTCCTTCGTTATAAAATTTTTTTGAGGAAAGCAAGTGAAACATAAGGGAAATATAAAATGAAGAGAAGATAAAAATTATCACTTTCTCTAACGGAACTGGTGTCATATCTAATTGATAACTGATGACTGATCTCCTCTTCTTATTTTCTTCTTTTTCTATTGGCAGGACTTATCTCCCTACTTTTATCCGTTTTATATATTATTGAGTTAAGCATCACAGATAATGTTTAACCTTCTTTTCAGTTAATTAACCACAAACATAGCGAGTGCCATAATTTTGTAGTATGCAAATATTAGCATGTATTTTAACTAATTACATCAAGCAAGAGGAAATACCAAATGAAAAATAAAAATCTTCTTTCTCATTCCTCCCTTTATCCCACATAGTGAAGGGATGCATTGATTCCAAATAGAACTTCGATTGGTCTCATATAACGTGTTACTTGCTGTTGAAGGCATTGGCAAAGATGATAGCTGTATGTGGTCCATATCATCGAACTACAGCGAGTGCTTACAGTCTTCTCGCGGTGGTTCTCTACCATACTGGAGATTTCAATCAGGTATCAAAACCTTCTGCTATCTTCCAGATTGAGATGTAGGAAAATGAATTCACTTCTCAGTCTTCTCTTAGAGAGATGAATGAAATAGTGGTCCTAGATACTGTTTTCTTAGCAAGCGTTTGTTTCAAATAATATATTATCATACTATCTGAAAATAAATCTTTTCTTTCTATCAATTTAACTGAACTGTGTTAATGGAGAATATTTATAGTCCAAATTGTTTCTACTTGTTGTTGTTTAGGCAGCTATATATCAACAGAAAGCTTTGGATATTAATGAGAGGGAGCTTGGTCTTGACCATCCGGATACGATGAAAAGCTATGGGGATCTTTCTGTATTCTATTATCGGCTCCAACACATGGAAATGGCTTTGAAGTGAGTTTGTGGTTTTTTCGGTTTAATTGCATTTAATTTGCTAAAAATGCTCTTTTAGCTGCAATCTCACACTACTAGTAGTGATACCCTTTTATTGCTTCATGATGGTTCACTCTTGTGGAGCTTGTGTTTATTTTCTTTCCATTTAAGCCCTTGACAAGCTTATTACGTTTTTTTGGCAGATATGTAAACCGTGCTTTATTCCTTCTTCATTTCACTTGCGGATTGTCTCACCCTAACACTGCTGCGACGTATATAAATGTGGCTATGATGGAAGAAGGCATGGGAAATGTTCATGTTGCTCTCAGATACCTACATGAAGCTCTTAAGTGCAACCAGAGACTACTAGGAGCTGATCATATACAGGTCTCTCTCTCTCTCTCATGTCATTGTTGTTTCTTCATCTATCAATGGAATCGTATTTATGTAATGTACTCCTATCTGGATCATTTTATTTGATTTCCTCCCATGACAGACTGCTGCAAGCTATCATGCTATTGCCATTGCTCTTTCTTTGATGGAAGCTTATTCTTTAAGTGTGCAACATGAGCAAACTACACTCAAGATACTTCAAGCGAAACTCGGACCAGATGACCTTCGTACACAGGTAAACACGTCAATACGACTTAGCTGGGCAATTTTATGCATCTTTGTCCATTCTGTTAGATGAGGGGGTTTTTGAGATTAGAAATCAAAAGAGATTGAAGTGAAGCATTATTTACCGGCTGGTTATATTATTAAATTTTTTATAATCTGGTTTTCGTTTTACAGGATGCTGCAGCCTGGCTTGAATACTTTGAATCAAAGGCTCTAGAACAGCAAGAAGCAGCACGAACTGGAACTCCGAAGCCTGATGCATCGATTGCAAGCAAAGGTCATCTTAGGTATTAATATGGTACATCCAAATTACTAGTTATTCAATTATATTATCATTTGTTGCAGCACCAATACCTCTGACTATTTGTTACAGTGTATCAGATCTCCTCGATTACATTAGTCCCGATCAATATTCTAAAGGAAGCGATGCACAGAGGAAGCAACGGCGTTCTAAGGTACATGATGCCTGTGACCATGTTTCTCATTAAACTTTAAAAACAATCACGATATCACCTATGCTTTTATTTCAGATTATGTAATGTGATCCTCCACTTATAACAAAACAAAGCTCCATGTTTCTAATTTGGCTCACTTGCTTGTCTCTGTGTTCCATGTTGAAACATTCACTAGTTCTGTGGATACGAATTTTCTTCTCATTGTTCTTTATGCTGCTCGACATTTAATATCGACATTTTTTTATCCAACTTGGCTGCTGTTACAGATTAATGATAAAGCTCATAATGCGCATCACAACTTAGAAACAGATGGTGCTGTGTTTGATGATGTATTGGAGAAACCTATAGCCACTGCGGATATTAATGAAATAGATACAGTGATTTCTATTCATCCAAAAGAACCAGAAGAAACCGACAATCTTAGTAGAGTTGAGCAAACTATTACAACCGAAATTGTTGAAGATACAACTTCAGATGAAGGGTGGCAAGAAGCCAACTCGAAAGGTCGGTTAGGAAATGCCAATGGAAAGAAGTACGGAAGGAAGAAACCTGTTCTTGCAAAGCTAAAGGTGAACAGTTATGAGTATTCAAATGGTAGAGAGAGTGGCACTAGGCGAGAAATTATTTCACCTGTAGGAAAAACCGTCTCGAAGAACATCACAAAGGAAATGCTGCCGGTTAAGCAATCGAAGCCTTCCAGCTCGAATCTTGGAGGGAGTTCAAATAGCTTACAAGCTTCTGTTTCCAGAGGTTTGTCCCCTTCAGCCAATCTTAATGCCATTGCTTCAAAATCGCTGTCCTACAAAGAAGTAGCTGCAGCACCTCCAGGTACAGTTCTAAAACCGTTACCAGAGAAGATAGAAGAAAAAACTCGGGGGAAAACAGAACAGCCAATGTGCACTGCCCCAGCTGAGACAGCGATTGTGGAGGATGGGAACAACATCTCTGTCGATGATGTAGCGAATGATGATGGTGAAACTGAAGGAACTCGTGATAGTGAAAGCCAATCAGAAGAAACTGCTCCTGAACTTGACAAGGTTTCTTCTAGTAGTCAGGAAAAGCCTTTAGAAGCGAAGGGGAGTAAGCTATCGGCATCAGCTGAACCATTCAATCCCGGAGCAATCTATAACCCGATAAACTCAGTTGCTGTTACATGTGTTTATGATGTAACAACCAGTCAAGGCATGCTAGCCGAGCCTGTTGTACCTCCAGTTGCTGCTCGAGTTCCTTGTGGACCAAGGTCGCCATTGTTCTACAGAAACAGCCATTCTTACAGCATGAAACCTGGCTTCCTGAGATATCAAACTCCTATTTTGGAACAAAATGGATTCGGTTCTCTGAAAGTTATGAACCCTCACGCACCCGAGTTCGTTCCAAGTAAAAGTTGGCAAACGACTGCAACTGGTGATTCAAGTGTCTCAGAAGAAGTTATGAACACAGAAGTAAAGGAAGTCGACAAGAAGTCCAGTAGGGAAGTTAAAGATTCTAATCCGAAAAAGAGCAGCGCAGAGGAGAAATCCGAGCTCGCTAGGCAGATTTTACTTGGCTTCATTGTCCGATCAGCCAAGCAGAACATGGAGGGTGCAAGTGAACCTGCTGTTAGTAACAAAAGGCTCAACCGTTGGGAAAACTCTTCGGATGCAGTCACAAATGACACCGCAATAGTAAAAATTCTTTATGGGAATGAAGCAAAGGACTTGGATTCTCAATCCAGCAACAATGAAGAAGTGAAACCGGGAGACGGCGAAGGCTTTACAGTGGTAACAAAACGGCGAAGAAACCGGCAACAACTTACGAATGGAGAAACAGAGCTATACAATCAGCAATCAATATGTGCTTCTGTGAGATGAAGGAATAAGGTGATTATGTTCCATTAATTTCCAGTTTTATTTTTATCATATCCTCTTGCTTCCATATTAACAAAGTAGAAATGGTTGGAAAAGCAATTTAGAGAGAAACGTAGTCCAAACTGCTTCTTTAGTTCCAACTTTATATTGAGAACAGCTTGGTATTTCGCTAATAATCTCTGTAAATTGGTTCTCTCGTTTAGAGATTTTGTTTGATCAATAAAAAGGCCAATTGGTAATTTTCGTATTTCCTTTTAAATATGCTTTTATTTTTATGTCAGTCTTGGTAGATGGAGGTTGGAAGGAGAATCCAAAGTTTGGAGAGACGTAGAGTAGGGTTCTTTGTTGAGGACGAATCCTATCCGTAGAGTTGTCTGACAAATGACTCGCTTCGCTTGCTTCAGTTCTTTGATGGGGTTACTTCGTGGGGGTATCCGATTATTAAAATTTATAAAACGACCTCCTAATTAATTAATTAATTTTAAAACGTTATTTTAGTGAGTTTTTTTATTATTAGAAGTTACAGAATGATCTCTAAATTAACTAATTATAAGGTGTTATTTTATTCAGTCAACTATTAAAAGTTATAAAATGATTATCTGATTATTTATAAGTATCAATCCATCTTTTTCAGTTAAAAATTTGAAGGTAATTTGATATGGACGTTAATTTACTAACGTATGATAAAATCATATTTTTAATGATGTCTAGTGACATCGACATTGTTTTCAAACAAGTTCAATGATATATTATTTTAAGTACCGACTCGACGATATAATTTAAATAGAAAGTTGATTCACAAAATACTGTCCAATCAATTCTGAGATAGATTTTATCATATCTCGGTCAATATGCTAGACATTGTTAATTTTTATAACTTTTAATAATCAATGAACTTAACAAAGTAACATCTTATAATTAAGAGATTATTTTATAAATTTTAATAGTATAAAATCTCAATAAATTAACAATTTATAGTCAGGGGATCAGTTGTGTAGTTTACCCATAAAATATTTATTCAAAGAGAAGTCGCTGTGTTCATATATATCATCACCAAAAAGGCATGGATTTCTAAAATTGTCAAAGCAAATTAGGATGAATTTATACTGCTCTGGTACATGACAAAACCAAGATCACAAACACTAATCTCATCAAAGAAAAACTGATCGATGGCGGTGAACAGATCTCTGATAAAAAGATGAAACAAAACAAAACAAATCATGATCACTGGATGTTTTCCCTGGGAGAATGTAGAGGAAACAAATGCAACAACTCTGGTTCAGCTCCTCGCCGAAGCGTCAGTGGACCACTTTGATTATGCAAATAAAACCCTCTCTTTTCCTCTTCTTCTTCTTCTTCGAGTGTGGACCTCGTTGGCTTGGCGTTCGACGGTGGGCTGAGGAGGAGGGGAAAGAAATCCAACGTGGAAACGGGTGATGAAACCAACGACCTTCTTTGTCCGGCACACGGGGAGAGGGAATCCATCTTTCCATTGGTGTTGGGGTTGATTTGAAGCTTGTTGAGGGCTCGTCGACGTTCGTGGAGGCTGAAAACGGGCTTCTCGGCGCCGGTGAGGTGCTGGACGATGGTGCGGAAAGTTGAAGGGTCGGCTTGGACTAAGGTGGTGGTTTTTGAAGAGGAAGCCATTGAAGAGATGGTGGTTCTGTTATAGCCTTATAGGGACTTCTTTTTATAGGGTTTATAAAGCTTCATGGACACTGCTTTTATGCAGAGGGAATACACTATTATTGCTGTACGCATCCAAAATGTCAATTTTATTAGTTGTTTTCCTACTTCATTTTCAACTCTTCCCTTTGAATTCTTCACAAAATAATCATTTTTTAGAATTTTGAATGATTATTAATTAATATTATAATACATTATTTATTTAACCAATAAATTATAAAATTTATTTTTATATAAAATATCAAAACAACATCATTTTAGTGTTACAATTACGTTAGAAATTATTAGTAATGACATACTCTCGTTATTGATTTAACGGTAGAGTAACGTAATTGAACGTAAAATTAAAGTCCAATCTCGTAATTGATAAATCAAAAAATTTGATGGTATAAACGAGTCATCGAACAAAGTCTATTAATACCACTTTTTGATTTTAGGAAGAGTTATAATGAGTTATGTTAAAAAGAAAATCATTGAAGTAAAGCAATGACTACAACAGTATTACATTCATCATTTTATTATAATTTATTCATTGACATGCAAAGCCATAGTATTCTTGTCTGTAAATTAAAAAGAAAATCTACGGAGAATATGACAATGTTACCAGGAAGTTGAAAAACAGAACCAAGTGTTGATGTATCAACTTTCGAGATCGGCAAAACCGAATGTTCTTTCAACAGCTTTGCACCAAGAATCCACCTTCTTCTTCCTCTTTTCTTCGCTTAATGTGGGGGAGAATGTGGTTGAGGCGTTGAGCTTATGCCCCGAAGCAAAGAGTTCGTCTTCTTTCCACACTCCGACAGCTATTCCAGCAGCATATGCAGCACCGAGAGCAGTTGTTTCTATGTCAGCTGGCCTCACCACGGGGCTTCCCAACAAGTCAGCCTGCGATCAACCACGATTAGAACACAAAATCGGATGATTGGATGAAGAGAGCATGAATGGTTTAGATAGTCTCTTCGATTTTCTACACACAGAGGTATGCATTGCAAGGCAGCTGAGATTCTAAGAAAAAGTACTGAGCCAAATTGTGTAAACGATGCATCAAGAACCTGTGTCATGGTCCAGGTTGAATGCTTACAATGTCAATATGAAATTCGCAGGCCTAACTGGAATGCTTAAAATTCATTGACAGCAACAAGCAATAAAAAAAATAGCTAGTGAAAAGGAAAATAAAAAACAACAGGAAAAGAATAGGGCCCTAACCTGAATTTGCATCAAGAGGTTGTTGACAGTACCACCGCCATCAACCCTAAGCAAGAACTCTCCCTTTTCAGTCTTAACCTCACCCTTCTCCCCTGCATCTTTGTGCATTGAATCCAATACATCTTTCGCTTGAAAACACATGCTTTCAAGCACCGCACGAGCAATGTGAGACTTGCTTGTAAACCTCGTGATTCCGATGCAAACTCCACGAGCATCATCTCGCCACCATGGAGCAAACAACCCATTAAAAGCAGGGACAAAGTAAACTCCTCCCGTGGAATTGACATTCGAGGCCAACGATTCAATCTCACTTGCAGAGGAAATTATTCCAAGACCGTCTCTTAGCCACTGAACTGCAGCTCCAGCAATGGCAATAGATCCCTCCAAAGCATAGTTGGTCGGTGCATTTGGACCGAGCTTGAATGCAAGCGTGGTTAGTAGTCCATGATTTGACTTAACAGGCTCATTGCCTGTGTTGAGCATGATAAAGGCACCAGTTCCATAAGTGCTTTTGGCCTCACCCTTTAGGCAAGCTTGACCAACCATTGCAGCATGCTGATCACCAAGACATCCGGCAATAGGAACATCAAAAACAGGCCACCCTTTGCTGATTTTACCAATGACCTCAGCATTACTTACAATTTTTGGAAGAATTTCAGCTGGTATTCCAAGAATTTTCAATGTGGTTTTGTCCCAATCAAGGGTTTTGAGCTTCATGAGCATAGTACGCTATGCGTTAGAGACATCAGTGACATGTAATCCGCCGTTTACACCGCCGGTTAAGTTCCAGATTAACCATGTGTCTATAGTACCAAACAAGGCATCCCCTTTTTCAATAGAAGCTTTAACCTCCACCTTGTTCTCCATCAACCATAGCAGCTTCACTGCACTAAAGTAAGTGCTTAAAGGCAAACCACATGATTCCACAAAATGAGTTCTCCCTCCTGGTAGTTCTTTCTCCAATTTCCTAATATTAAGATCAACACAAACATCAATTACATAGAACTCAAACTAGGCTATTGACATCAAAACTAAAGGAATTCATGATTACAGAAACCAAGGGCATATAAATCAAACCAATTCCATGTATGAAAAGCTTTTCTCGCTCATGACTGAAAACTATCAATAATCCAATACTTTAACAACCAACTCAAAACAAAACCTAAGCAAAATCAAAGACGGAAGAAAATCAAGATGAAAATAGAATAAGCAGGGATGGGCTGAGCGGGGGCAGTAACTCTTGAAATTTTCAAATTCTTCTATATTTTAAATTTTGTCTGTATTTTCTATTCATAATCTGTTTTCATCCCTAAAAATTTTAAGTTCCCTCTTTAAAATTTTATAAGTTAGCTTTCTAATTTTTTTAAGTTCACTCCCTAAACAAACAGAAAAAACTGGAGAATGAGATTGATGAAAGAAAAGGAATACCTGCAAATGGAACTGGTACGAACATCCATCCAAACGATGGCGTTATAGAGAGGACAACCAGTAGATTTGCTCCAAACAACAGTGGTTTCTCTTTGATTGGTCAATCCAATTGCTTTGAGTCCACTGTCAACATTGTGTCCATCAGCAGTAGCCTTGTCTAGTGCCTTTGTGATGCACGACCTCACGCTCTCCAATATCTCCATCGGATCATGCTCCACCCATCTAACATCCCCCACCAAAGTCCCCGAAAAAAAAAAGAAACGTCAATAAACATATCAACAAATTCCAATAAACAAATTGATTAGGAATCGAGTTTTGAAAGGAGTACCCGGCTTCAGGGTAGAACAGAGTGAACTCGATCTGGTGGGAACCGATGACTCGAGCAGATTTGTCATAGATTAAGAACCAAGTGCTGGTGGTGCCCTGGTCGATTGAGTCGATGTAAATTTCTCCCGCCATTTTTGTTCTTCTCGGTTGTTTGTCAACTTAGATGCAGAGATTAGTAACAAAGAGAAGCAAGAAAGATGGGTGGCTTTTATACATTGGGATGGCCGTGGGTTATTGTTTATTTTTCTCGGAAATTATTTCCTTATTTTCTCGGGAATGTGGCCGAAAGTTTATCCAAACATCTTTCAAATACAACAAGAAAGGAAATCATAATTCAGGATAAACCTCAAATCGATTATGGCAGTGAATTCAATACTAATTTCATAATCAGATTTGCAATATGTTGCCTTCTATACTCTATTTTTGGGTTTAACGGATTCTTCTTTCGTTTACTTCCATTTTTCTGGGATCCTTTTTAGATTTTATTTATCACAACGAATATACTATTAATTACAAAAAGTAAGATAAAAATTATTAAAAAAAAACCTAAAATAGAAAAATGCCATTAAAAACAATTTACAGAAAATAAATTTACCATTACATCTTATTAATATTTTTCTTTTTATATTTTGTCCTTTCAGTCGAGTACATGCTGAATTGAGAATCATTAGAAAAAGCTCATTAATCTTTTATCATATTGATTATTTTTAAATTATGTCATCGATCTGTGTGTAGTCCCAATATTTTAATTTACTAATTCTAATCTTGGTATAAACTAATATAATTAATTATAATAATTAAATAATCAATTTAAAAATATTAATTAAATTTATACTTTACGCAAAGTAACAAATAAATAACAATTTAGTATAAAAATGACAAAAGAGATAATTCCGACTTTTAGGCGGAAATTTCAAAGTATGACTAGGAGTGAATAATTCAAAGAAAGACGAGATGACACGTGTCGTTGACTTTAATGACAAGATAGTGTAGACAACACGGTCATCCCTTTAGGGTCACGGAGGCCACGTGGTGCCGTCTTCTTCAACTTGCCATGATTATGTATCATCAAGTTATTAAATTTAAAATTTAATGATATTTAAAGTATTCAATTTTTAAAAAATATATATTAATTTTAAATTTTTATATTTAATGTGTTTTTAATTTAAAAATATTATTAATTTTTATTAATAAAATTAAACAACGATCATTATGATACTAATGTAGTAATTCGTTGACGTAATGGTTGAAGGTATTGATGTATCAATTTACGATCGATGATGATATGATGAAAGGAAAAATTAAATTTTTTTAATTTGAAGATAATTTTTTTTGTTAAAAAATTTGAATACTTATTTATTTTTTAAATAAAATTATTTTAAATCTAAAATTTTAGAAAATTAAATTACTAAACAATATTAAAAACTTGTAAAACTAAAAAATTATTAAAAATAAAATTTTAAAAAAATATATTATGCATAATAATATATATTTATATAATATAGTCACAAAAGAAAAATAATCATATTAACATAGTTAAACTAACAAATTCAATATGATTTTAATTTCATATTATGGATGTCGTGCCTTCTTATATCATACATACATGAATGCCAAATATATTTGTATCACCATACAAATATATCAATAATAATTATATAAAGTATTATTATTAGATTAATTGAGATTACAAATTTTATATCTAAATATTATTAAAAAAATATCTTAGATTATTCGCATCAATACACACATCTAATCATACTATGAATAATCCTAATGGTCATTCGAAAGCCCTTCACATCATAAGTTAGTGTATAAAAGGACGCTTAAAAATTGTACAAAATATGATTGGATATGTGTATTGATATGAATAATTTATGATGCTTTTTAACTATATTTAGATGCAAAATCTGTAAGTCTCGAATAATCTAATAGAATATTTTATATAAGTGTTGACGATATAAATATGTTATAATAAAATCATGTTTAGTCTGTGTACTTGTATGATACAAAAGTGTATGATATTTTTAGTGGCGGTTGATATATATATATACATGAAATTAAAAGTATAATGGCTTTGTTAATTCGATTATATGAATATGATTAATTTAGTTTCTTGTCTATATGTTATATATATAGTAAGTGTAATATATTTTTTAAATTTTATTTTTTAATAATTGATACTTTTATAATTGTGATATATTTTTACTTTTTAATAGTGCTTTTAGTATATTATATTGTTAGTAATTACATTTTAATTTTTTTAGTATTTTTATATTTAATTTTTTGAATATTTTTATATTTTAAATTTAAAAATATTTTTAAAAAAATCTAGACATGCCATCGAACTTTCTAAAATATCATTTTGATCATCAAATTCGACCAAAAAAGTTAATTTGATCTTTTTATCATGTCATCCTCCAATGTAGATTGTTACGTCAGAGACATAGATCACCACATCAATATCATGGATTGTTACATCATCATCATGAACTATCGTGTTATCATAGTAAAGATCAACCTTTGATTTCGTTAGTTAAAATGTCAAATTAATTTTTTTAGTTTAAAAGTAAAAAAAAAATACAGGAGTTGCAATAATTTTGTTTGAGAAAGTTTGAGGGTATTATTTAATAATTTTATATTAGCCTTCCATTTAAGTATATTATAAATGAATGTATAATGTTATGCATTATTTCACATAATTTCTTTACCTACATTAAAATTTTCATAGTACTCGATTAAACTCTCTATATGAAATAAGTAATTTCAATGATTAAAGTAAGGTTATTATTACATTTAGGATTTAATTTTTAAGTGATTGAAATTTTTTAGAAATCTTAAATTCTTAAGGTAAGAAACTTGTTAAATTTTAATAATTAAAGAATCATTGATGAACGGCTGCCGCTTGCATCCATTGTTGATAAGAAAAATAAAGAAGAAGAATATCTTTGGTTTGGTGTTGGTCGTTTGCCAACTTAACATTAAAACTTTCATTCTTTTCTTATTTATCTATCTATTTAATTCTTAATAAGACATATTAAGTGAAAGATTCAAAATGAATTAATATTATATGGTAGCTTTCACAAGTAGACAGGCGATGTGCCTATAAAATACATAAAGGTAAATTACGCTATTTTTCATTAAATTTTACTCTCTTTCGTATTTTACTCGTACTTTTAATTTTTCTAATTTACTTACTAAACTTTCGAATTATTTTTGTTTTGATCATTTTGCATTAATTTATTATTATTTTGTTATGAAGTGACATTTTTATTATTATTTAATATAAAAATGATTTTAAACAAATAATAAAATATGTCACATCGTATCAAAATAATAATAATAAAATAATTCAAAATAACCAAAACATGAGTAATTTAAAAGTTTAATAAATAAATTGAAAACATAAAAATACAGTGAGGAAAATAGGATAAAGAATAAAGTTTAATAGAGAATAATGTATTTTATCCAATAAATAAACAATGGTGAATGTACATTGGTGTTAGGGTGGGTACGTGTCCACCCTGAAACTTTCTATTTAAAATTTAAATTTTTTTCTTTGAATAGATATGTGTGTTCACCTTAAAATTTTACCGTGTCTATATAAAAATATTTCTAAACAATTTATTTTATGTTAAGAAGTTAAATTTAAAAAGTGATTATTCACCTACTCTTTTAAACACGATTAAAAGTCTCATTATGGGATGTAAAATGCTGCTCTAAAATCAATACATTAACAAAGTACTTGTATAAAAAGAATGAAGTGACTTTAGGCCTTAGTTAAATTACGATGTTATTATTTTGAATTATGATATTTAAATAAAATCATATAAGGTGCTTTAAAAAGTTGGGGTCTATTTCTTTGGGTATAATACCAAACTTAACCCTCAATGTTTATTAAAATAATCAAATTATCATTTGCTTTCTATATTTTTTTGAGTATTTAGCCTTAATATTTCATTTCAAGGCAAAATATTCTATAACATTTGACCAAATAGTCATTTTAGTTCTTATCATTTTTTCTAGAGTATTTTGGCCCTCAACATTTCATTTAAAGATAAAAAGGTCCCTCTATTAGAGTGTTAACCTTTTGTTAACTAACTATTTCCATACATAAAGATATTCTTTTGTCCTAAAATAAAACATTAGAGGTCAAATTATTCTAAAAAGGAATAAAGACCAAAATGATCATTTGAATATATTAGAGACTAATATTGATATAATACTATTGATTTTTTTAGAGTCAAAATATTTTTTAAAATGGTATCATTTATTTAATTATATAATATAAAATTTATGTTAGAAACTATTTAAAAAAAGAATTTGTGGGGTGTCGTTTGACAGCCCTTACCTTATCCTACACAAGAGAACAAAACTTTATTGAAAACACCAAGGGTCGTACCAGCTATACTAGTATTTTATGGATTAACTTTATGCATCATTCATGAATTAGATAATGGTTAAGATTTCATGACGATGAATTATTATTTAATTCATTCATACGAACATTAATAGTATAATTAGTGTTCTTGTACCAATCTTTGGAAATTGCCCTTGAAATACACGACTCCCCATAGACTAGCCTCGACCAAACTAGTGTTCTTGTTGCGGTTAATTTTACAATATTTTATACGAGAGAGAATAAATTTATAAAAAAATTCAAAAAAATGGAGCTCGAATTCTAAAATTTAAGAATTGGGTAAATTGGGTTAGTAAACTCGTCCTTATTATAATGAATCTCTATAAAATTTGATCAGAAATAATCGATTAATGTATCATATATCAATGGTTAAACTAAAAAAGTTATTACACTTATTTATTCATAGATTTTTTTTCTTGATAAAAGTTATATTGTGCGTGACATCATAATAACGAATTCTAGATATGGTCATATTTAATTTTTTTCAGTTAATTTTAGTTTGCTTCTCGTGTGTAACTATATTTTTTTAATAATGTGTAGTGATTGTAAGATAATATACATTCATAATCTTTCTTAATTATTGACAACACACACATCCTATAGACACAAATGCTCAAAACTATAACCTCTAGAAAAAACACTATTTAACTATTGAGACCATTTGATGGGTTCTTATGTATAACTACATTCATTTGTAACATTTCTCATCTATCTATTAATACTGAAAGCTTTTAACCATTTATTTTAAAAATTAT